AGAAAGAAAGAAAGAAAGAAAGAAAGAAAGAAAGAAAGAAAGAAAGAAAGAAAGAAAGAAAGAAAGAAAGAAAGTGCCAGAATACCAAAAATTAAAAGAACCAGAACTGACTAGTTGGAAAGTGTTCATTTGTAATGTGGCTTTTTTCACAAGGTGATGCTCCATATTGAAGTAGGCTACATGTTTCCATGAGGGATATTTATTTCTTTTTTATGTATAATTTACATTTTAAGTCCAATCAATTGGTCGATGACTCTAGGCAATGTACAAAATTAAAAACAGATATAATATGTATCAACAGAAAAGGAAGATGGTTGTCCTGGCCAAAGAGATAACCAGTAAATACCAGGTACACATATTTTTTGACTTACGACTGGTTGCCTAGTGACCATTCAAAGTTACAACAAACTGCCCAACTATTTATAACCTAGTTATGATGCCCCCCTCCTCCCATCACATGAGCACATGTTGGTAGTCAGCAACTGGCTTGCATTTACAGCTGTTTGCAACATCCCACAATCAGGGGTGGGATTCCACCGGTATAACAACTGGTTCGGTGATCGCGCGTTCATGCCAAACACACACTCTGCATTTTAAAAAAGGTAAGACCATACTTACCTTCAACAGCTTCTCTGTGAAGAAAACAGCAGAGGTGCGGCAAACAGCTCTGCCATGCGAATCAGCTGTACTCTAAACAAAGGCATAAAGCACAGGAAAGAACAGGGGCAGGTGGCTGGGCCCACTTCCTCATTGCAGTGAACCAGTTCAGAGTGACCTGAACACGGGAACAAGGGGTTCACCTGATCCGGTTCGAACTGGTAGAATCCCACACCTGCCCACAATCATATAATCACAATTTATTACATTTTTTGCTGAAAACCAGTGTTTAATTTGTTTTGGGTTTTTTTTTTTTCAAAAACAGCCTATAACTACATACAATGTAGTTTGCTTAATAACCGAAGTGTTCACTTAATGACCATGGGTTGGCTTAATGACTGTGGTCATTCACTTAGTGACCACTACAAGAAAAGTTCGTAAAATCGGGTCCATCCTGTGGGTGACCCCCTTTGTGACTGTCATAACTTACAACCATAATGCTCCATTACAGTTGTAAGTCAAGGTTTGCCTATAATAATAATTTGCACATTAAAATTGTCTCTCCAGAATAAGAAACACCTTTCATTTTCATTTTCCAATGATTCAAAATATTAAGGCAAATGAGTAGGCAAGTTTTATCTTTTATCTCTTGTCTTTGTATTGCTACTCTGACCTTTGGTTCTCTTACAATCAATTCTGGGAATGTTTTCATTGAATTTGAAAAGACTGTAGAAGGAACAACTAGGAAAAATGATTTCATGCTCACAAAATACAACTGTTCACTACCGGTAGTTTTCAGATGAGATGGTATGAATGTTTATCCTAATTTAAACTATTTATGAAAAAAACTTGTAAATGTGTGAACATGTTTTATGTGAGTAGGTGCATTTAAACAAAATCTGTAAACTGGTATATTTATATGCATCTGCATAAGAGTATTTGACAGCTGTCTGTATGATTACAATGTTTTGATCATCTTACAAGTGAGAGTTAGCTAAATTATGTGCTCCTAGTTCAGGTCCAGTCTTTCAACTGAACCATGCAAAACAGATTTCCCCTTCTAAACTAAAATGAAATACCAGGCTTTAAAGCAGCTGATCTATAAAGATCCATCTGTTCCTGTGGTGAAAGAAAAGATAATTGCATTTTTAACCATTTAATAAAAATATCAAGAGTGAAGGTAATAGATGCAACATTTTAGCAACATATTAATAAAAAGAATGATTCTAAAACACTTGGTTTATGTATATAAGGCTTCTTCTCAGAAATTAATTGCAACAAGAGAGTTGGTACGTGTGAAATTATGGGATACAATAAAAATCTTCAGATTTAACATTATATAAAGACATAATCTGTAGCTCATATATATCTCCTTACGGCATCTTTACTCATGTATAGATAACTTTCTACTTTCTGCTTTCAAATTGTTTATATTGCCTTAATTAGTAGAGATCTTTATGTTAGGACATGCTAAGTGTTTCTGCTGAAATTGAAGATTTGGGGAGCAACATGTAAACAAAGAGAAATATGCTAGTTATCAGTCAAATAGACTAGATAAAATATAGCAATAATGCAAGTATATATCTGAATGTCATTATAAAATGACAATATAGATTCATTAATTTTAAATACTTCAGATTTCAGATATTCATAAAAATGATGTTAAACTAATACTTTTTGTGACCTTTTATATGTTAAAGCTTTTATTTAAAATTAATTTTAGTATTTTAAAATATATTTTACAATTGATGGATAATTTGTGTAAGAATATTTTCATAAGTTTATCTAATATTATATGTTTAATATTCTTGTATTTTTTTACAACTATCTCAGGACTTCCTTGGAAACAAGAAAGAGCCTTTCAACTGATCCACGCAGGTAAAATATATTGAATTTTTTTTAAAAAAATAAAAAGATGGAGTAGTAGAATTTATTTAAATAATCATGAATGTCATGCAAGAGCAACCCATAATATTGACAGTTAATTTCACTGTCATCAGCACAAATATAACCAAACTTTACACTGCTGTCTCTCAGTGTGTTATGGAAAGTCATTCTGTAGAACAGGATCTAGGATCCTACAGACTCTAATGAGGTCAGTGGACTGTTATGAATCTGAAAAATTAAGGCAGATTTCCATGCTTTTTTACCACTGCAGCATTCTGTGTAATCCAAAGAAGTGGTTGAAGTGTACTGTAATAGATTGCCATAAAGGGAAGGACTCTCCCGACAAATCATTTACAGGCTGTTATTACAAATAACTCCTGCACTGCAGTAGGAAATTCAACTTAGAAAAGAAGGTGATTCTCAGACAACATTAAACATACCCTATGCTTTTTTAAAAAAAAAATCAAAATAATAATTTAGTAAAATTCTATTTGAAGAATGTCCTGCTGAAGCTCTTTCATAAAATTAAACAAATTAGCAGGCATTGTGTTTAAAATGGTTCACATTATTGCAAAGTATGCTGGAGAAATCAATTTGAATACGGTATATTTCAATAGAATCTATTGAAGTGGTTTGTCATTGAGACAAATAATCTCTTGGACTTCATTTTCTGCAACTAAAGGAGTGGAGGAGAAAGATTGTATTTGACAGTTTTAGAAGAGGGTCTCTGTGCAGTCATTGTCAATAAAACCCATCATCCATTATCCATTAAATAGCTTATTTCTGCCCAAGCAAATGGCCTTCCTTCATTGAAAATATACTTGTCACTGTATTTATCTTTTAAAGTGGTTTTTTTTTAGATTTACCTGATAGTTTTCCATTGCATCAGCACAGGTTATATAGTCTGTCACACACTATCTTCCTAATATTCAGCCTGTTTTTGGCATAACAAACTTTTTTCATCTATCTGTAAGAAAAATAGGAAATGAACTAGTTGTCTTTTGAAATGCTAACATTCCTCCAGGTGTTTGTGTTGCATTTTGAATGTACTGATTCCATAACTAAAGGTAGTCCTCAACTTACAATTATTCATTCAGTGAATAGTTGAGGTTACAATGGCACTACAAAAATAACTTACAATCAGTCCTTGCACTTATAACCATTGCAACTTCCCATGATCAAAATTTCAGTGCCTGGCAACTGGCATGTATTACAAAGGTTTTATATGATTCCAATGCTGGGTTCATATAAACCTTTTGCAACCTACCCAGCCAACTTCTAGCAAGTAAAGTAAATGGGAGAAGCCAGATTCACCTAATAACTGGATGATTCACTTAACGGTTGCAGAGTCTTTAACCCCCACTGCAAACAAGGTAATAAAATTGGGTATAACTTACATAACAATTGCCTTGCTCAGCAATGGAAATTCTGGCCCCAATAGTAGTTGTAAGTTGATAATTACCTGTACAATTAACTTTTAAACTATCGATTACAATGTATGAATGAATGATAAATATATATTCGAAGAAAATAATGAATTTTTAAAATTGTGAATGTTTCCAGATGGTAAAACAACATTTCCTGCATAATTTTTGAGCTCTAATCTAGTTTAGTATTGTTACAGTGCTTCTGAAGACTGCTTTATCCATCTGCAGTCTAGTGAAAATCAGGTATTACTGACTGCCATTTTAAAAAAAAAAATAGTAAAGAGAACAAAATTGAAATCGGGGAAACTTGCATTGTATCTTTTGTCTATAAACTGACCAAGATGAATTTATATTTGTGATTAATGGGTTTCCCATAAAGAACAAGCTCAGTTTCCTGTAGCCACATCACTACAAACGTTTAACCTTAAATTTTGCTGTTAAGTTTATATTCATTCCTTTGCCCTATATATGGTATGGCTCTGTGGTTAAACCATGTATTTGAAATGGACCTTTTGGTAATCAGATATTCTGTAAGGCAGTGGTGCCCAATCCATGGGCCACGGCCCACCACCAGACCTTAAGATCTTTGGAACCGGGTCACGGAAGTGGCGGGCTACTGTGTATGCATGTACATCCCCACCTGGGCAAGCAGCAGATTAGCCTGTGTGCACGGGCTTTATTTGTGTGAGTGACAGGTATGCAGATGTGCCGCTCATGCAAATGGAGCTGCATGCACATGCGCACTTGCCCACCCCCCATGCAGATCCATACCCCCCCCCAACTGGTCCACAAAGCTAGAAAGGTTGTGCAACTCTGCTCTAAGCAATCTAGATTCTTATTCTTTCCATATTTCTAGCAAACAAATTGTGTTTTCTATACTTCCTTGTTATGTTTTCAACCAACCATTCATGCCACCTAACAGAATAATTGCACAATCAGAACAGAGTGTTGTGATTGTGATCTCAGAACTTATCCCTGGTTCTTCCATTGTCACTGGAGCCTGACATGCAATTACCAGCACTCTACATATTTCTGTTTTCATTTTCATATACAACAATGAGGATGACACCAGTTCATACATTTTAATAAATATTTTAGTTCTTCCATGCATAATTAACCTTACATTTCCCTTCTCTTCAGATCTTCTGCCTATTTTTTTTTCTTTCAACTCATTCATTATTTATGCTTTTTGTCATTTATTCCTCTTACATTGAAAGCCACAGTCTTCTATAATATATTTTGAACCCATGGCATCACATTGCCGTCACACAATGTTTTGTGATGTTTTTTTCCCTTTGCAGAGCTGGAGTAGGTGTGGCCTGCATGTGAAGCATCCAGCCTGTGTGCCATAATTTTGACATTCCTGCCATAGATAATAAGAGAGGCTTACTTGGCTAGTTCAGTGAATAGAGATGAGGATTGCCTAATGAAATTTGAAGTGGCTCATCAGAATAACTATAATTAATCCAGATCTGCTTAGGCATTAATTAAAAAATGAAGGAATTGTAGGTGAGCATAGTTATTCTTTCTGCTTTCCCCTCAACCTACATATTAGGGCCAATGGGAAATTAAAATGAGTGGAATGCATACTGCCCAAGAGAAATTACATCATCATGTACCAGACTACATTATGGTGCCCAAAAGGGCATCTTCTCCAATTTTGGTCCATTAGAACTTGTTCAATCCAAGTATCTAAGACTGGACTTTCAAGTCCCCAAATATCTCTTTGATCCACTCTGAGATTGGAAACAGGCCTCATAAAGTAAAAACTAGACTGTGGGTGACCAACTATTGGCTCAAACTATCCTTTTTCCCCTTGGGCTTGATCTGTTAACTGTGAGGGATGATTTTCAGTCCACATGGAAAAGGCAGTGGTAACTAAAATCTCAACTTTGGGTTCTCTCCAGACCTTCTACTTAACATTGGATATGATCAGGCCAAAGAACTCATTAATCAATGTGTAGTAGATGTTGAGTGCCAGTTGGTTCCAACTAGGTACACAACCTTTATTGCCAATGAATCCAGCAGGTACTCTGCCTCTCCCATGACATACATAAATAACCTTGGGATATCTAACCATCTGGCATGATGTCATGCCCTCCTCTCAGTTGTCCTTGAATCTTATACAGGAGAATTCCATATGCAGAGGAACAATGCAGAGGTGGTATTCAGCAGGTTCTGACCAGTTCTGGAGAACCATTAGCAGAAATTTTGAGTAGTTCAGAGAACTAGAAAATACCACCTCTGACTGGTCCCGTCCCCATCCATTCTCTGCCCCCCGAGTCCCAGCTGATCGACTGGGTCTTCTTTTGTTGCCCTGCACAGGAGAACAGAACTGGAAAGCTGGTTAGTGGGGTGGGGAAGGAATGGGAATTATCCTTCCCCTGCCATGCCCACCAGGCCACGCCCACAGAGACATTCATAGTAGCTTCATCTCACCATTACTGTATAATGGTGCCCCCCAGAGGGCATAAATTTTTACACCTCCCTGCTGCTTCAAGATACTGATTGTGCAACATCATATAATGTTGCCAGGTTTTGTGGAGCAGCACAAAATCCATCAGACCTGTGCTATAAATTAATCTTTTTTTTTTAAACAAGTTTTATTGATTTTACAAACAAACAAACAAAACAAAACATCATTAAACATTAAAAACATAAAACCTCTTTCCATTGTAGATCCTTACAAGGCAGGTAACATATTGCTTTATATCACGTACTTATAATTTACCCCATTTCCATATAAACACGTAAATTCCCTTTACCAAATTCCACATTGTTTCTCTTTAATCATTATTCAATCATATTTCCTTTCTGATTTATCTGCTATCCAGTCATCAACTTTATATTTTCCTCTGGCTTGTTTATAATTATTCTCATCTAGTCTTCCTCCGAGGTTTTATTATTTAATTCTTACTTAAACACACACACATAAGACATAGACATAAAAACATAAAACTTTCTTCTAGAAAGTAACTTGGCCCCAAATTACCTCTTTTTGTATGGACTTCAATTGAATTCATGCTCTTCTTATATACCATTACCCTTCTTATTTACCATTCTATATCTATTATATAACTCCTCTCCACCTTTGCCTCATCTTAATTCTGTTTTATATATTTAATCTTGCTTTAAAGAAAAATATTTTTATATCTTTTGTCCATTTCTCCATTTACATCTGTCTCATTTCCAATTTAAGAAAGAATAGTTTCCCCTGGAATCACTAATCGGAGTATGATGCCTTTCTATCATTCCCCTAAATTAAAATTTAAAATAACACCTAAATCCCAATCAGATTCTGCTTAGTACATTCTACTATTTCAGAAACCAATACTACAATAATAAATCCATAACAATCAACACATTAATCCATTAAACTCTATATTCAAACTAATATTTTAAACATTCCCTTTAGTATTTTATTAAAACTTATTATCATTCATTATTAAACCTTTTAAAGTTATACCTTGATATTTTAGTCTTTTATTAGATCTTTAAAAGTTCTGATTATCTACTTATAATACAAATACCACTATTACAATAATCATGTGTACTTTGTAGAAT